GAAGCCTTGTCTGTGGTTTTTTAAGCAAATCCTTCGTCTCTTTTAAGGAGCGTATGTCAACCTAGACAGTTTGGAGTAATTTTTTTTAAAAAGTATGATATTCCAATCGCATTATTCGACCGAATCAATTCTTCGTTTTGGCATACTTCGTTTCATTGAAGTAATTCACCTGAGTAACTGTTCAGTTTTTACTTAAGCCTGTAAGCTTCATTCGTTCTTTCAGTCACTGGAGCTTCTACGATCATTTTTTGCTACGTTGTGATAGTTCCGTTCTTGCTTTATTCGCTGCTCTGGTACCGTAAGTCGGATCTGCAATATTCATATATCGATATACTATGTGCATATGGTTACAGCCTCTCTATTTTCATCCCAGTTTCGGTTAGTTTTTGCAGTTTTTGTCCGGCTGTAATGTTTAGTATTTCCAAGCTTTTCAAATAGTGATGCACTTTTGCTTTAATGTACTTAAATTTTTAGAATTTTCAGCTTTTTGATACTAACCAGTTATGACCTTTATTTTCCGGGTTTATCCCATTTCCGTCTTTTTCCGATAGTTGCTGGTGATGCGTACGGATAAGAAAATAATTGCTGCGTCGACTTTTAAGATACCTTATGTATACGGCTAAACGGCGAATAGAGTTCGGAGGCCTGTAATTTAGAATATTTGGGTATTTCATAGCAGTGTTTAGTATATGGATGCATCTCAGTAACAATGGAGCCCCACGCCAAGAGCCTAAAGCGACTTTCCTGGTCTCATGGCTATTTCCCGCGTCTGAACGTGTTTGTCAGTCCACTTTGTTTGATAACGCATTTGTATTTCAGGTTCTCTGGGTTCTGCAGGCGCAGTGGTTTCGCTGGATGCTTATAATTGTATCGGTTGTTCTCAGTGGTTCGGTTCTTGCGAACAGTATGTGGCCGGCTGTCAGAAATGACCGCAATAGAATGGTAGATTTTTTGAAATTTCCAAAATTTTAATTTTTATACATTTTCTCTTCGTTTCCAAAGAGTTTTCTGTGATTTGATGATATAAATGAACTTACTGTTAATGGACAGAATTATAGAAAATAGAGATATTTTCAGCGCTTTTTTTTTTGATGAATACTTTAAGCAATTCTTCGATTGATATTTCAGCAAATACTTTGGGGGGAATTTAATAAAATTTTCAGGGTCTCGTTTTCTATATATTTCTCTTTCTCCGCAAAAAAGTCCTCTGT